CAGACCTACAATAGGAGGGCTACTTGGAGGCGGGAAACGGATGATTTCTATCTCAGGATTGATCCAGGGTCGCTGAAGCATAGCGGTTAACGCTGCCTGCTGGAGTGCCGGGGTGGCTGCGCTGGGATGGGAGCGATGGCGTGTCCGCAGATGGCTGACTAAAGTGGTAGGCGAGATGGCGTACTGGCACCGAGACGCGGTGCAGATCCAGATCTGGTAGGTTGGGTTATATAGAAAGAGATCCATGGCTGATCTTATAGAATTGAATAGTCGATAGCAAGCAATAGACTATACAGATTTTAGTATAGTATAGAAAGAAAAAAAGGGATGGAGAGAAATTAATATCTATTCTAACTAATTAACTAACTAGATTAGATATAATAGTCACGTATATATATAACGCGAAGAATTTATCAGGATCACACGCGTCTATATGGCTCTCCGGAATGTATATGTATATAACAATATCGCTACAGCGCTCTACAAGTGACTTGGGGGGGAGGGGGGGGGGGCTTCGGGGCACGCACACGGGGCGGCGGGAGTACGGACCGGGGGGGGGGAGGGGGGGGGAGATATGAAAAAGCCGGACGGACGGACGGACGGACGAATCAGCGGGCGAGAAAGGAAAATGGGAATCTAGGTAGGGTGGATCTACCACTAGGGACTAGAATCAGTCTTCTGTCTGCCTTATATCTACTGCTTAGCTTTCTGCCTACGTACCCTTACCTAGTTGACAGGTCTTCTACCCTGAATAGTAGATATTTCTTTGACATATGTATTCGAGATATCGAAGAAAATACACTCGATGGCTTCAACTAGCTGACGTTCACGAATAACCTCATTATAGCGCCTCACCTGGCAGTGTAGCCCCCGTCCACCAAGATGTCTGTCCCAGTTGTATATGTGCTGGCATCGCTTAGTAGATAGACATATGCCCCCTTAAGCTCCTTAGCAACGCCATCTCGACCCATAGGAATCATGGAGTGCCAGAGCTGTTTTGTATCTCGATCAATAAAGTCTGACAGTCCAGTGTCGATGTATCCAGGAGAAACAGAATTGACCCTAGCAAAATCCCTCCACTCGTTTGCCAGCGATTTGGCGAAATGTACACACGCAGCCTTTGCAACATTATAAGAGGTTTGCTCCTGGGGAAAGTTGGCAATATGACCGGACATGGACGCAGTAATCACAAACGAACCCTTCCCGCGAGCCTTAAAATGTTCACCAACGGCTTTGGCACAGTAGTACACACCGTGGAGGTCAACATCCACAATCTTCGCCCAGTCGTTAAGGGTACCGTCGAGTACGCCGGAGTTGGCAGCCTGGCCTCCGTTCGCAACAAATCCGTCAATGTGGCCGAAGTCTTGGATAACGGAGTCTCGGAGATTTTCGACAGACGAGAAAGATGTGATGTCGCAGTGATAGGCTTTTGCGTTGACGTTGAACTCGGTTCTCAGCTGCTCGGCATTTTCCTCCGCTTCGTCTTTTCGGGTCAGGTAGGTGATGGCAATATTGGCTCCCATTTCAGCGGATCCTCGGGCAGTTTCGAATCCGATTCCACGGGGTCCGGATGCCCCGGTCACAACGATGACCTTTCCTTTGAGAGAAAATAAATCAGCGAGCTTGTCGCCTTGGGGAGCTGAAATAGGCATGTTGGAGGTTGTTCTTTGCAAAAGAGTTTAGTTTAGAAAGATTTTGAGGAATGGTAAAAGACGTGTAGACCAATGGCCATGAACACGGTGTTTAAATAAACATCAAGCAGTAATCGAAGACTCCTTTTTCTTATGGAGTGCAGTGGCTGCCACTCCATAGTTCATCGTTCGGAGGGTGAAATCGGAGAATGAAGCCCAAAGTGGAAATTTCTCGGAGACTGTTCAGTTTCTCGATTAAAATCCGCAATTTACTTCACGGGTCATCCGACCCCTCCTAGTAATCCGACCACCACGAAAAAACTCTGCTACGCTCAACGATCTTCAAGCAATTCGCAACAACACAGATGTCAATTTAAATTAATAAGTAGTAGGTAGAAAGCATTTAATTCAATTATGGCCCCAAATACCACAGTTGGAACACTTTTTTAGACGTCGTCTTGGCGGCTTTGCAGTTACCTGAGCACTCCGGGGGAGGGTCTTGTATATTTAATTGCATATTTTTCCGCGAAAGAGACTCTCTTTTCTCTGGAATACTAACACTTGTATAAAAGGTATTTGGCGTTTACATCGCTGCTTTAATCTGTTGATCCGCTGCTTTCTGCGCGTAGAAGGCAGTTTTCTCGCGCTAGAAATTCGGCGTTGTATAAAGCAGTTTCGAAGCCTTTTTGTAACTGCTTTAAATGTTTGATTGAAATCTCTGGAGACCCTTGAGTCAGTTGACTAATAGACCTCTGGATCGAGGACGACTTTCGGTATAGTTGACTGATTGTATGAGGTGTTGCTACTGTTGAGGATGTAGTGGAACCCCACCCCCCGGGCTTGACGGTGGAATCGGAGTCTTCAGAACATAAAGTTTATCTAGTACCCTTTGTGGATTGGGGGGGACTATTCCAGGTGCAGCGAAGCCATTTTGAATATTCTGAGGGGCAAAAACACTGCCATGGGCACTGGACTAGGCATTTAAGAAGTCTTAAGTTCTCAAGACGGCGTATCCCTATTTTTGACCGTTCTTCAATTAAAGCATCATATACACGACGTAGAGGGCCAAAATAGCCAATATATAAAGGCTCTGATAGATGGGATGAATGAGCAGGCATGCAGATTGGAATATTCCCATTTCTTTGACAGGCCTTATCGAATTGGGGCGTTAAATGACTTCCATGACCATCTAAAAGAAGTAATCGATATCAACCAACTGTACAGCTGTTGGTTGCAGGAATAAAGATATTTTGAAGCCACCGGAGGTCTATCTCGTCACTAGTGCAACATTTAGACTAGTTTCAATATGTCAGTTGCTTGAAACAGTATCTTCTGCATACCATCCTTCAATACGGACTTTGCCTTTGAAGATAATGCAAGTTGGAACGTCCTACCCCCTAGAATTAATACATTCGTTTGTTGTGAGCCAATCGCGATTGTCGGAATCAATAAGCAACGGCCTGCCAGGCGTACTAGATCTAGCAACTACTTTATGCTATTCGACTCATAGCGAAGCCAGTTTCGTTAAAGCTATACATACCTTCATAAGCAATCCCCTTGACAAACCGGAGCTCTACTGGATCATTAAGCAACTTTTCAGTGACATTGGGACCCTGGCAGAGAGCCCGCTGGTAACCATATCGACGTGCAATCTAATTTTCAGCCTCTCCACAGCGTTTAGTAGGACCTGATACACATTTCTTTCCGATAGGTTCATGATCAACTGAGGAATCTATCTGCAGGATTATCGTAGCCATTTCTGCAACATAAGAATGCTGCAGAGGGCAACTGCGTTAATCTTTAGGTACTATCCAGTCAGCTAGACAATCCTCCTGAATCTGAGATAGTCGGTGGTTATGGTGGTGGCGTTCTAACTGAAATTCATGGCCATTTAGTCGGTCTCGGAGTGTCCCGTTCGGAAGTGCAAAAACGTTTGCAGCTCGACGTATAGAAGCAATTTAGTCATTTTTAAAAAGCAGTAATTGTTTCTTGAATTCTCTCCTCCTAATTAATTAACCTTTGACTTGAAAGGCGCTTTTTTCATGCCATGTGGGGTTGCTTGAAAGTTGACGTGTTAGACGACGCGTCGACTTTTTGGAGTACGTGCGTTATTAGCTCGCGCACACTTACCAATCCCCTCATCTATCCGCCAAATGGACAAATTAGACCCCCACCGAAATATGTGATCGACCTTCCAGTCGATGTTTACTCCCTCGGTTGCCGTGGCTAAAATTGTCCCGGACACTGCGGGGGGCCGGGGAGGGGGCCGGTCAACATTCGCAAGAACACCAAGAAGTCATGTATGCCTCTAATTCTGTCCATGGACATCGACTACGTGACTGGAACTTACTGGACCTAATTGAGCTTTCAATCTTTATTGTAACCTAGTCCACCCTGCTTCCAACGCGTGCTAATCAATATCACCTTAGATTTATTAGGTGACCACATATTAGTAGATTAAATAAATCAGTATCACATTGATGAAGTCGTATGGTAAATAGCTCAGATTGTCTATCTTGGTTAAGACTTTCTGCAGCCTTCTTCTCGTTTTAATACATATGTGTGGACCTAATGAGATGACGCTCGATACTCAATATCCATACAACAAATAATTCCTATAAAGGTTCTATGGGTCACAGGAAATGGAAATCATCATGAGGTGGAAGACTGGCATCGGAGACGAAACTATCAGACTGTCAAGGCGTATACCCATCTCTATACAGCTGGGTAGATAATTCACTTTTTGTTCACATCCTCCTGACCCTCCTGATCAATTTCAACGCCCCCGTTGTAGTTGCTTCGAAATCCCGGACGAAGTCGTCCGTTCTTGCCCACGACGAAGACCACGTCATTATCGCCCATGAATATGTCGTCCATTGCCTCAAGAGACCGACCGCTTGTTTCTGGGTAGAAAAGAAACACGATTACAGCAAACGCAAGGTTTAAAACAAAGAAAATCATATATGTTCGCCATCGGATATTCGAAATGGAGATGGGTGTGATCTGGACAATCAGATAGTTGAATATCCAATTACTTGCGGTAGAAAGAGCGGCGCAGTGGGATCGATGGCGAAGCGGCATAATCTCTGGGGAATAAAGCCATGGGATTGGAACCCAGCCAAATCCAAAGGCCGCCTCGAAGACACTAGAAGAATGTTTGCAAAATTAGCAAACGTTTTTCAAACAGTATGAGCATGGAATGGATGGAATAACTCACAAAAACCACACCATAGAGGCTTTGGCTTTGACGACGGTGATATCTTTCTGAAGGACTCCTGCCTTTTCAAACATCAATGTAATTCTCTTACATTGGGTTGAACATTTTCTTACCAGTAGAAAGCTTATACTACAGACCACCGAGCCCCATATAAGGGGCTGCCGTCTAGTCATTTGATCCAGGCAGATCACTGGAATCAGAGAAAATACCCAATAAGTCAAAGCAAGACCGGCAGATATGTATAAGGAAACTTTCTCCTCATATCCTACATCTGTGGTAAGAATGTGGGGGAAATAATAAACCTATAACTTTGAATGAGCTTTTGCATCCGACACTTTTGTGGGCTTTGGATAGCCTTACCAGAACATTGATACCCGACAGCTGTTGCATTATCTGCAACCCGCAAGCTAGCATATATCGGCGTCTTATTTTCAATGGACCGCTCATAAACATCTCACGGATGTGCCAAGGGCCCTCTGCTTCTTCCAAGGTCTGCTCAGGTGTGTTAGTTAGAACTGACGGGCATTTTCTTGGCTTGAAATACCCACAAGTACTCTGTCAATATGGACTTTTAATTTTTGAGCTTCCATGTTGCCTTCCGTAAAGTCTTTACTCGAGAGTTGTGAAAGCACATCTAAGGCTTCTTCGTGTCGGTCATCTGCAATATAACGACTCGGTCAGTATTCTTCTATGATGAAGTTATCTACATGACACTGACATTTCGCTAACCACCGTGGTGATTCTGGAAGAAAAAACACAAGCCCAACTTGGGCTACGATAAATACCACTTGGAATGCAATGGGCAGTCTCCAGTTTACGGGGTCAGTTGGTGGCAGATAGGATACTCCAATGTTGAAAAAATAGGCGACCACAACCCCGGCCGCAATAAGGTTGCCTTCGACCGATACGAGACGTCCGCGCGACTTTGCAGGACTCAATTCAGATACCCACAGGGGTGTGACAGCAGTGTTGAAGCCGTTACCCCATCCACTGATATCTGCATTGTCAGTGGTTGTCCCTGTTGGCACGTAAAAAATGAAGGGGTCCCCTTACCACACAATGCGACCAATAACCATCTGGACTGTATGAAAGGCCGAAGCTTGTAGGATAGCTCCTACAAGCATGAGTGCTGCACCAACATACAGACACTTTTTCCGACCAAGATATTCACCGACAATGAATACATTGATCGCTCCCACAAAGCAGCCAATCTCATATATGGCGTTAATAGTTCCAAGTAAACTAGAATTGGGGTAATCAAAAGTTCTGAGAAAGTCTTGTGAAGTATTCACACCCTTGTGATATTGTCAGCTGGCACTGGTATCCTTTGCGAGAAAGCTCTTACACTAAAGACCCCTTGGTCATAACCAAATAAAAGGAAGCCAATTGCACCAGCAGCAGTGACTCCTCTCATCAAAGGGGGCCCCCGCAACCCAAAAAAGTACTTGCGTGGTGTGTAATCCAATGTGATACTTTCGAGGTGTCGAATGCCCTCCTCACTATCATCTTTGGATGGCGGACTCATGATGTCGCGCTCTTTTTTAAATTCAACAGGTATCTAGAAGAATAACCGCAGTATCTGTATCTTTGAAAGGTACCAAATCCCCATGAAATGCTGAAGAATAGTGGCTATGAGAAGTGATTGTTTGCGAAAGATTGAGTGACACCATAAACAATTCGAATTGGTTCAAGTTTCTTTCGTGAATAGGAATAGTATCCTTTATAAGCGGGGTGAAGACTTCTTAATCTCTTGACTCATTTATGATGTCGGATAATTTGATACCAAAGTGATGGCCATACTGTTACGGGATAGAGCACGATAAATCGGGAAACTCTTCGCCATAAAAAGTGCTTCTTGGAACTTCCCCATATCCACTTACCCCGCCGAATCTCCCCGCAAAATCCTTCGGGTACGGCCTTTTGCTAAAATCCCGGGGAACGAAGGTACGGTAGGGGGGTTGGGGGTGCTTCACAGGTTCCCAGCTCTACACCTAGTCGTCTATGGCAATTTCTCGGAGAAAGCTAAGTAGCTATGTGTCCCGAAGAATTGTGGACAAGACCTGGTGGGTATCATTACCCGATTATTATATAGTACAACAGGAGAGAGCAAAGCATGGATGGGTCTCGTCATTCCCACGTCTCTTGCAGCTAATATGAACGAAACCAAGGTATAATCTGTTCACAGGTTCTAGTGTGTGACAGTCCAGCATGAGAGACCCCCCGATTAGCGCTCCGAGAAATTTCCCGATCTGGCTATTCTCTACGAGTTCCTGCTACTACATGTTTCTCTAATCGACCATCATTTTCCATCGGATGGGCTATACGTCAAGCCCCGCAGCAGTATCCTTCGCTCGGAACTGTGCACGCGGACAAGGCCTCAAGTTTGGATGATATGTGCCTGGTTGGCCATGGACTGGGGGAGGGAAATATAAAATCATGTCGGAGTTCTCTGCAAAGCGCCCATTTTTTGATTCCGATGGTCAACACGTCGGTCAAATGCATCTCTTCACATTGTAAACATCTTTGAAATTCTTGAATCATCTCAAAGTGTCATTGAAAGGTGTTACATGCACAGCACAATGTCAATCCCCATGCAAACCCTATTGAGCCTATTGGATGTGAAATCTATCAATACAAACATTCTACTGGGTAAATTTCCTATCTCTCATTGGAGGCTCTTACTAAATGACTGACATTATCCAGAGAAGGGAGCCAGGCTCGCAGCTTTGACTGTCACTTTTGCTCTCTTTATACCAGTCCTGAATTACTTCAGAGATCCAAAAGGGCTGCGGCAGTATCCCGCTGCTGGGCCATTCGGACTCGCCGCTTTAACACCTTTATGGGTCACGTACTATAGTTTCCTAGGTATACGATGGACGAAAATCGAGGAAGCACACGCGAGACTTGGAAGTGTTGTCAGGATTTCACCAAACCATCTTTCCTTCAGTGACCCGCACGCCTACAAAGAAATCTACGGGCATAGGGCAAAGATTGTGAAAGACGTATTCTACAGCAATATGGCCGGCGACACCCCGAATATGGCCGATACGGTCGACCCAGCAGATCACGCGAGAAAACGGAAGTACTTCGCTAATATATTTTCCGCCAAGAATGTCGGAATGCTGGAGCCTCGCGTACAAGAATGTACCCAGAAGCTTTTGGACTGCCTGAAGGTCAAGTCAAAGGGCCTGAAAGTAGCAGGTACAGATCGATTTGAAGTTGGTCCGGATGGAAGCTTTGATGTCCGACCTTGGCTCAACATGTTCACTTATGACGCCATCAGCTCTATGATGTGGTCTAGCAGCTTCGGATTTCTAGACCGCGGGGATGATATGTGTGTGGCAGAAGCTCCCGATGGAAAAACAAGAATTGTTCGTGCCATGGAAACCTTCCAACGCAGCGTGTGGTTTGCAGTTTTCTCAGCACACCTGCCCCGTTTCGCTTATAATGCCATACACCTCCTAGCTAGTAGTACCAAATGGGGCAAGGCCGGGGCTGATTTTAGCAATGTATGTTCGACTACTTACATCTGTTGTTTTGGTGGTATATCGACGCTGACAGAACTTCACATTAGATAGCCCGATTCAAGACAAACGAACGTATGAAGAATTTCCCTGAGGAGCCTGATATTTTCTCTCAATTTCCACTGCGAAAGGATGAGAAAGGTCGCCCGCCTCTGCCAATGTGGGAGATCGTCGCCGAGAGTACCGTGATGATGAATGCAGGTACGTTGAGCGTCACCTCATGATAATCTACAAAATGAAGCATACTAAGGTCTTTATCACAGGAAATGACACCACACAAACCACTCTGGCGAATAACATCATGATTCTGGCAACAAATCCCAAAGTCCAAAACAAGCTACGCACGATACTGCTTGCTGACGTTCCACCAAACGAGCAGCCTGTTGCATCATACTCAACACTAAGTCAAATTTCTTTCTTGAGAGCTGTGATCGACGAGACCTTCCGTGTTTTTACACCTCAAAAGTTCGGGTTACCCCGTCGGACACTTATGAACTCCAACATCGTTGGCAACCAGATTGCGCCTGAAGTTACCGTTTCCTCTCCGTTAAGCGAGCTACACTTCAACCCTGATCTGTTCTCCAAGCCGCACGAGTGGATTCCCGAGCGATGGCTGGCAGATAATCCAGACTTTACATCCGAAGAAAGGCAGAATTTGAAGGATTTTGTCCTGCCATTCACTGCGGGCACCAGAGCATGCATTGGAAGGAATCTCGCATATATGGAGGTCAGCATTGCCCTGGCTGCTCTGGTTATGGCTTTCGAGTGGAAAATGGCCGATGGACCTTTTGAAGAAAACTTTGGACAGTTTGAGCGCATTACGTCCAACCCAACAAAGCTGAATGTGAAAGCAATTCCTCTTGTGTAGCTAGCTTTAAGGCCACGGCGAATCTTCAAGTTTCATCCAGGTATTGAGCAATAATCATGATAAAGGGACTGAACTAGACAGCATTGATCATGGATACTTTGGCAATGTGTCATGTAATCTCATATAGGACTGGTGGGTAAACTCTTGATAATCAATTCAATTATTAAATAGATGCCGATGGTCTAATTTCGTAAAGAGAAAAGAGAAAATAATCTACTTAGGTATGCATACATATACTAGCGAATTCCTGATACCCCTCTCTGATGGCTATATGAAATTGTCCGCAATAGTGAGAACACGAGAGTTGGACACAACTACTCCAAGAAAAGTATATGGTTTCACCATCGCGTTAGCCAGTCAGAGGTAGCATGGACAGGCGAAGATATCAATGTAGAATCTGGGTTACTTAATATGAAAGGATAGAGCATGGCAAACACTTTCAATTAACGAGGACATCTTTTCGCAGAGGAAGAATATTGGAGGGAATAAACCGGTACTATGCAGGGAGTCGAGGTTAAGTTGACTCGGGTCCATGTGTTGCCCAAAAAGAAGAAAAGCTGCCGAGATATTACCCAATGTGGTAAGGTGGCTCGGCATTTACCCCGCATTGTGTTTCCCCGGGTAATTTTCCCCAAACTCCAGATCAGGGAATTTGATCAGAACAATTTGTTCTCTCTCCAGCCAGTTTCATCACAGGCATATCGATATGCCTCATAATCCGCACAAAAAATCCTGCATCCCTTGCCGGGATCGACATATTCGATGTGACCGACTCACGCCGACTTGCACTAATTGCCGCAAATCTCGGTACATGACTGTCTGCAGTTATGAACCGATCAAATTCAAGTTCAGAACCTTGTTGGAGACGTCGAAGAGAAAGACTCACCGGAAGAAGAAGGATGCTTTACGCGGCACGTTCTCTCCACCTGAGGAGCAGGTGCATCAGCGTTCAGTGTCCCCTGGAGTCCAGGGAGACGCGGAGGCGAGTCGCTCTCCTTCCCATGATCAAATTTCAGATAGACAAAATATCGATCTTCAGACCGGCAAAGTTGGCCATGATCTAGAGGCACCAATAATCCTGGCATCTCAGTCACCCCTTCAGAGCTCGCTGAGAGACCCTATTACGACTGCGGCTACCGTTGTTTCTCCAAGCGACTTCGGCTACCTGCCTGTCGCTACGACAACCTTTCCACAAATATCAACCACTACAGCATTACAAGACACCGCCCTGCATGAAACCCCGTGCTCGACTAGCAGCCCACATACCACGTCTGATAAACTCGAGGCATTCATTTACAGTTTTTACATTGAAACCGCAGGGCCGTGGGTAAGACAAACCCATATTAAATTATAGCATTCAATCTCTGACATCCACAGCTAGACATAGTATCCTCGAACAGGTTCTTCGGAATCTATGTGCCACGGATGACTGTCAGCGAGCCAGCCCTGCACTCTGCATGCTTGGCATATGCTTCCCAGGTACTTTATTTGCACGGTCGGGTGCCCCGCGAAATTAAGGAAGAACTACACGATAGAGCCCTCAGACAATTGACACCAACGTTTACTTCGTCATATCAAGGCAGGTCTGCTGAATGTTTACTCGCCTCGACAGTGCTTCTACGCATGACAGAACAGTTCCTAGAACTCGGTGAGGACCATCAACACCATCTGTACGGTAGCTCCACCCTTTTTGAGACCGAGCTTCACCAATTGTCACTGTTTGATGACAACTTACGTAACTCTTCCTTTTGGGCTTACCTCAGAGGTGCTATTCGCATCTCCTTCCTCCTAGAGAGACCTTCGCCTTTCCGCTTAGAGTATTTGAGCTTTATTGAGTCCAGTCGGGGCAATGGACAAATGAGTGATGAGGCTTACGCAAACTGCATGACCTACTTCATTGCTGAGCTTTGCACCTTATGCTGGAGTGAGCCTGGCGCTCTCGGCTCGGATGGAGAGGTCGCCTCTAGGATACACCGGTTGCAGGGTGTTATAAACGAATGGAAAAGCAATCTACCCGCATCGTTCAATCCATGGTATACGGACTTTAGGGAGAATGACATATTTCCTGACGTTCGATACCTAGCCCCATGGCATTGTTAGTGTGTACTGTCTTCGTTTGGCCGGAATTTGCTAATATGATAACAGGCGTTGCATGGCAGTTCTTTTATGCTGCCCAGGTAATGATTGCGGTCTATTTGCCAGCCATTAGGGAGCAGTCTAATGTATTTCAGTTGACCAGGACCTTGGAAGTAAGTGCCATGGGTTTCGTCGGCTCGGTATAGCATAGCTAATGCTTAATGAAAGGAGAACGTTGCTACGCCGAGCCGCTGGCTCTGTGGAGTGACTTTATCGTCAAATGACTACGGAGTAAAAATCAATGGAAGCCATCTCATCGCCTGGTGCGGTCAGTTCCTCACTGCACGAACAGAGCAGAATATGGTACTACACATCCTACTTTCACTTTGGGAAGACACAAAATGGCCCAATCAGACATGTTGCACACGTTTGAAAGATATTTGGAACGGGTCGCGAGGGCAGTGGATTGATAATGAGCGACCAAGCACATAACATTGGGCCCTGAGCAATACTAACGAGAATTGAGCAAGATGCGACTTGAAGATTTATTGGCCACATAACCAGGGCCTCAACACCAGATTATGACCCAACTTCAGAAGATTGTCACGTTAGCTTCAACCTTGGATTTTACCGAGATTGTGTGAAGACCCAACAAGGCTCACTTCAATGCTCAAGCCTCAGATGGACTTGATATAAAAGCATCAATGTTATAGAGCCATGCAAAGTAACCATTCTTTTTTTCAATTTCGGAAACCCTTTGAAATATGTTTGTACATTTTTAGTACACAGTATAGATTGCCTTCCCGCTAGTATATCGTTGGAAGGCGCCAGTATGCGAAATTTTGAGGATATAATATATTTCCGCTATTAAATTGGTTCGTCCAATAATAGTTTTCCTATTCCACAAGTCGCCGCATTTTCCCAATTGCAAAGTCAAGGGCTAAGGTAAGGTGTATCCTCCATCGATGACAACATTAGCTCCAGTCATGTAGCAGCAGGCGTCACTCGCCAGGAAGACATACGCCTTAAAAGCTTGTTAGAGTATATTTCCTCTAATATATATGGGGTGCTTGACTGACTCCTTTGAGTTCGGCGGGGTCACAGATGCGACGCCCAGGAATCATGTCCATCCATTTTTCGAATCTTTCCTTTGGTTGCTGGGTGATCACTACAATTCAAGCATGTTAGCAGGTGGTTTAGCAATTAGGCACAGTTTGAAAGCGAACGTACTTTCAGTCAAGATAAACCCGGGCGATATACAGTTAACTCGTGCAAAGTCCGTCCACTCCACCGCAAGGCTCTTCGCAAGATGTACTGCCGCCGCTTTTGACGCATTATACGCGACCTGAGCCTGCGGGATATTCACAAGAATAGAGCTCACGGAAGCCGTAACAATGAGATTTCCTTTACCTTGCTTCTTGAAAATTCTCCCTGCGGCCTGTGCTGTCCACATCACTCCATCGTAATTGACGCGATTATCGCGTGCCCAGCTTTCTTCGTTGAATTCGAGACTTGGGCAGTTAGTGCATACCCCCGCATTAGCGACGACAATGTCAAGGAAGCCATTGCCAAACTCCTGTGTGATTGTGTTGACTGTCTCTGCAATTTGGGCACGCGAGGTTACGTCCGACTGGAAGGCTGATACCCTCCTACCAGTGGCCTTAGAAATCTGTGCAGCAGTCTGATGCGCATCTGAGCTAGAGGTGTAGATCACGGCGACATCTGCTCCTGCCTCTGCAAGCCCTCGCACGATCTCAAGACCGATCCCTCGAGCTCCGCCTGTCACTATAGCAGTTTTGCCTTCTAGCGAGAACTGAGATAGCACGGGAGCGCGCATATTTGGGGGCTGGTAGAGTGGCATGATGGAAAGATAAGTGGTGACTGCTTCCACAGACTGAAAAATAGACAATGTAGTCTTCGGCGTTAAAATATCTTGGCTGTATTGATATAACAAAGATCTTGTAGGGTAGTAGAAAGCTATCTTTAATAGCGCTATATCTTTTGGTAGTCACATGACACCGCTGGAATGCTCCCCCCACCCCGAGTGCCAAAACTAATATATTTGCCGCGAGAAATTGCTCCATATAGTTAGTGGCACCCCACGCTTTGGACCTGGGTCCATATACTCTATACTGGTACTCGTACTATGGACGCGAAGCCCCGGGAAACTACCGTTTGGGGTGCATTGAGCCCGAGGATGATCGTGGGAACGCAAGAGTAATCGCGTCTAAAGTACTCAATCGGCATATATGCGGACCCAGCAAAGGGGCAAATGCTGGATAGTATTGACCCAGTTCGGGTGAGAAGCAAGTAGAAATATCGCAAAATCTCTAAATTTCTCCATCTACTATTCACCAACACATGATGTCCTGCGGGGAACTTAGTACAATTTCAAACACCTCCAAGATAAAGGAATTTTAAACCGTCTTACCCACGTTTTTACTAGACTCGAAAGTTGGAACACTCAGGAGATGTTTGCAGGATGCAATAACTTTTCTCTATTGGTACCAGTGAACCTCTCCACAATCACTCTTAGTAACATGTTTTGCAAAGAAAATACATTCAAGTGCCCTTTGCATATTCTACTCCACACCAGCAATAATGACCTTGAAAACATCCTCACGTCCGGCTTTAACAAGTTCAAAGGCCTCCTCTGCCTCTTCAAACTTGTAGCGATTGGTGATCAGTCTCTTCACATCAATCTGACCACGACCAATAAGATCGATAGCTGCAGGATAGCATCCTGGTAGGTATCGAATAGAGCCTTTAACGATAATCCCTTTTGTGCAAACTGCAGTGACTGGGAAAAGGACATTTTCCTTCCCCATTCCTGCCTGGACAAAAGTGGCACCTGGCTTGGCAGCGTAAATACCGAGTTGAACACACGGTTCAGCACCAGAGCATTCCAAGACCACATCAAACCCTTCTTCGATTCCGAATTGAGATTTCATTTTTGTTGCAACCATCTCTGCGTGCTCCATGGGATCATCGCCAGGTGCTGCGCGAGGGGGTATATAGGTATAATCTACCCCGTAAGACTTGGAAACCTCCAGTCTACGCTCAACAACGTCAACTGCAACGACAGTCTTTGCTGCATAGACCTTTGCAACTGCCTGGCAGAGAACACCAATAGGCCCAGCACCCAATACCAAGACTGTTTGATGTGCTCGAAGATCGGCTGTTTTTGCGATAGCACAAGCTACAGAAACAGGCTCTACCATCGCAGCTTCTTCCATATCCATAGAATCTGGAATCTTATAACAGAAGTCGGCTGCATTGATATAGTATTTTGCAAGCGTTCCATCCCAAGGAGGGGTCGCTGCAAAAATCATATCACTGCAAAGGTGGTAGGATCCCTTGCGACAAAACTCACAACGGCGACATGGAACGCCAGGCTCCAAAGCAACACGGTCACCAGCTTTGAGGTGGGAGACTTTAGATCCTGTCTCAACAACAATACCCGAAGACTCATGGCCTAGCACCATTGGTCCTGTGAGCTTATAATCACCGATGCGACCGCGTTGCCAGCTAGAGGAAAGAAGAGAGGTCAGCCAAAGAGTGGTACTCCAGAGGGATGAGGAGACCATACTAGTGAACCTGTGATGATTAGCATACAGTTCGAAGAAGTACCTGTATTATTGGAATATCGACTCACGTCACTACCGCAGATACCGGTTTGCGCGACGTGAACTAGCACGTCATAATCATCTTTCAGTTCAGGTTTCGGACGATCTTCGATTGCCACATCTTTCACGGCTCGAAGGACAAATGATGCGTTCTGTTGTTTCCTGTCAGGTGGGGTTTGGTGTTCAACATCTTCGGAGGATTTCTTACCTCCATTTTTAACTTGACTTTGTTGAGAAGCAAGTGTTGCAGTGCCTTTCAACGTGATCAACGCCTATCGTAGGGTTTACAGGAGTTAAATAGGAGCAGACGAAACTATTCTTTCAGAATGCCAGATCCGACATCGCGGGACCCGTGCTTATCGGAAGGAATAACAGTTCCAGAACCACAGAAACTCCGAGCCCGACGTGGATAGTTACCATATCTGTACATTTTGCGCCGCAACGAGTTTGGTTTATGTGGGGACAGAGTGATGCAATTGAAGGGAGCGTGGTGATTGGGGAATGCCGATGACTGTAGTGATTATGGGTAAACATTATTAGAATGGGAATCCACGAGACTTCATGCGATGGAGAAATTGGAAGTTTTCGCCACAGAATCGCCCAATTTGGTATAACTCCCCGACTTGGCCCAAGCACCGTTAAAGATTCATATCATCTCGGGAAGTTTAATCTGGGGCACTCTCTTGGGATGAAGCACCTCGCAATGAGGAGACATATCCGGGGGACTTGATACAGGCCATGCTGGCCGGAGTATCCGACGTAAAGCTTTAGTTCAAGTATAGAATAATGTTATTGAAATAATGGTTTCACCAAGATAACCGGCGTACCAGCGGCAGGAAGCAAAACTCGCCTACCTGCACGGGTACCCATCGTGCCCCGGCAACTTTACTTGTGGACGTAATATATTATCCCAATAAAGGTTTCTAGTTTAAGAGACATTCACAAGGCACCCAGCCGAAGAAATAATCATGGCCTTTTTGTACAGTGTTCTCCTCGCAAGCTTCTTCTTCCTCCTCATGGGTCAATACCAGAGAAGAAAGAAAAATAGGAATACAGCAACCGATCCACCTCCAAGTAGCGCAAGCAGAAGTGTGGTAGAAACCATGCGCGCAAATGACAAGAACTGTGTCGTTTTCTATGGCTCTCAAACTGGAACAGCGGAAATCTTCGCGTCAAGATTGGCAAAGGAAGGATCTCAACGATTCGGCCTAAGAACAATGTTGGCTGACTTGGGTGAATATGACTACGACGACCTAAGGGCACTACCACCCGACACACTTGCCTTCTTCATTTTGGCCACATATGGCGAAGGAGAGCCAACCGACAACGCGGTGAACTTCTACGACACGCTGCAAGAGCTGGCCGACGAGGATAACCCCCTATCTTCCATGAGATACGTCGTCTTCGGCCTTGGAAATGATAATTATGCGAATTATAATGCCGTAGCTCGCAAGGTCGATGCGAGGCTCGCTAGCTTAGGTGCAACCCGTGCCAGCAAGGTGGGCGAAGGGAACGATGCAACGGGGATGATGGAAGATCACTTCATGGCCTGGAAAGAGGAGGCGTGGATGGAGATTCGTGAGCATTACGAACTGGAAGAATCCGCAGCAATGTATCACCCACATTTAGCCATTACTGAATCACCTTCTGCTATCAATGACTCAATATACTTGGGCGAGCTCAACAAAAGTCAACTTGAAGGCCGGCAAGACGGTCCATTCTCATCCCAAAACCCGTTTCTCGCAACTATTGTGGAGTCTCGAGAGTTATTCCAGCAAAAGGATCGAAATTGTCTTCATGTGGAAATAGATATTGCATCCAGTGGCATGCGCTACGAAACAGGAGATCACGTCGCCATATGGCCTGTCAATCCTGGCAAGGAAGTGGATTGCATACTGCAAGTTTTCGGGTTGAAAGAGAAGAGAAACACCGTGATTGATATTCAGAGCCTCGACCCGACTGTGAAAAATCCAATTCCAACACCAACGACGTACGACGCCGCATTTCGCTACTACCTCGATATTTGCGCCCCGGTGTCTCGCCAGCTTCTGACATCATTAGCCCACTTCGCCCCTGACGAAGACACCAAATCAGAACTACATCGCCTTGGTAAAGACAAAGATGCCTTCCATCAAGAAATCATATCGAAATATTACTCGACAGGCTATTTTTTGCAGAGTATCACAAATAAATGTTTCTACAATGTACCCTTTTCGCTCCTGTTGGAAAATATCGCCAGGCTACAACCTCGTTTCTACTCAATATCGTCTTCGGCTCAAACTCAACCACGGCAGTTAAGTATCACGACCATCGTCGACTCAGTCCAAGTTTTGGGCAGCCAAAGAACGTTCAAAGGCCTAACAACAAACTATCTGTATGCCCTCAAGTGTGCACAAAACAAGGAACTAGCCCATGATGATCTGAACTATGATATTGGCGGGCCGCGCACTAAATACTGCGACTTCAAAATCCCAATATATGTGCGTCACTCCAATTTCAGATTACCATCAGATACATCTCGTCCCATTATAATGGTCGGGCCCGGGACAGGGATTGCACCTTTCCGTGCCTTTATTCAAGAGCGTGTCAATATCTCCCTTCGAAATGCTCATGTTGGGGAAAGTTTGCTTTTCTTTGGATGTCGCAATCGACGAGACGATTTTCTATACGAGGAAGAATTGACCGTAGGTATCTTGAAACCAGATCTTTTGACTATAAAGCTCACAATACACACTAGAAATGGGAATCCGATCCCCGCAATCGACTCCGAGTTATTGTGGCCTTTTCGCGTGAAACTGAGAAGAAGGTCTACGTTCAGCACAAGCTACATGAGAGTGCTGTTCTGGTCAATCAGCTCGTTGACCAAGGGGCTTATATTTATATTTGTGGGGATGGTGCAAGAATGGCTCGCGAAGTGAAGGCAGAGCTTGGCCACATCATTGCTGAGCAGAGAGGCATGGCGCGGGAAGAAGGGGATGGGGTAATCAAGAGTATGAAAGATCAAGGACGCTATCAGGAAGATGTTTGGTAAATCATGTGTGCACTTGAAATATCAACAAGTATATTCATTTGAAGAGTGCTTTTCCTTTTACTCCTGGTAAAATATTCACTTCCTTGTTGGTAAATTGTGCATGTCATCAAGTGGTTGGAATGTTACAACTAGGAACATTTGGTGACTACTCATGTCAGTTATCCGAAAGCGACTTGAATGCATTCCAGTAGAACAACATCTAAAACTCATATTATTCCATCTGGATGAGAGGAGATATATAACATCTCCGAGATGTGCCGAGATCCATCGAAACTGTACCTCCCATCTTTGGCTTCGGACCTGGTCAAGCGCACGTATGGCCTCAACCAGAATCTATTGCCCGGAGGGGTGTTTAGGGTTTCGGTTGGCTTGGATGGCAGCTTGATTGTCGGTAAATATAACGGCGTGCTTGCACAGATGCCTGTAGTACAGGCCAGGGACTCTTCTTCTTCTCATCCAAGTCTACATCAGACTGTTGGCTGGCCCATTGTCAACAACTTCACCAAGCAATATTGCCACACTGGCCCTTACTCAAGGCGCTCGGCCGCCGGTATATGGTGGGAATCTCGTTTGTAGTGACGGCCGTCTTCCTTTTTGCCTATGTGGGGGTTAATAACTCTACTGCTAGTCTGGTATCCCCGTGTGTTACTAGTGTATTAGTTGACTTTGGTAAGTAAATATAATTGCCGGTAATATCTTTTGAATACTGAGACTTACTACTTGTCCTAGAGTATAATTTATGTCCGAGAAAATATGTCTTCCTACAAGAGCTCTCAGTGGAACAACAAATCCTCTACCACAGGTCAGTTTCTGAGTTTCTAGTTCTGCATACCAAAGCTGGCCTTAGTACTAAACACGATGTCACTCCAGTTAAGCAGCAGCCAGGGGGAGCCCAATGGGGCCTCGCCAACCAAAGATGTCAAGAAGCCACTATGAAGTTATAGGCAGTGTGTCTTAGTAACACCTCAGAGAGATCCCTAGTCATGTTGGATGTAATAGAGGCTCTCAATCAGACTCAGGCAGGTCAGCTCAGAAGTCAGGTTTCCGTAAATAAGCTGGAGTGATTGTATACCTGAGACTATTCTGTGTACCCACACCCCGTCATATTACAGTGATGATGATGATGGTGATTTTATTTACCCTGACCCCTTGCGAACAATATGCAGGCTACAACAACTATATATATCCTAGTATATACTGTAGCTGACCTCCTGACGATCGGAGCCACCTGACGATCGATTTCACCACCAATAACCAGGTAGAAAATGAAGCCATACAACCACATAGAAGAGGAACCATATAGAAATCTTTTGGTATAATAAAATATAGACTATAAAGAAGATATCTAGGGATTTTAGAGATCCCGAAAGCGCTGTGGGCGGTGTATTTGCCTGCCTCGACAATTTACAGTAAGAGGGGCCTCTTCAGCAACTTTAGGCGCTGGAGTACTAATATCTTGCTGATTAGGGGGTTTAGAAGGCCTGGAGATAAGTTTTCTTTTCTTATTAGTCTTCTGGAAGTTATCTTGAAGCTGTAGATCCGCTGCTTTGGCATATCTCCTATCCTCCCTTTGGCGTTTCTTCCGCTCAGCTTCCTGCACCTTCAACTCTTTCTGATATGCCTTAATCCTTCGATTATTTTTAATTGACTGTTGCTTTGCTTCTTTCTTCTGCCTTTTTCGCTGCTTCTCTGCTTCTTTTAAAGTCTTTGTATTCTCTATTACTTTTTTCTTTTATATTTAAAATATCCGAGCCTCCTGGACCTTGTTAGACTAATAAAACACTGCATTACTATCTTTAGGAGTTTGTAATTGAAACTGTAGAGGTTTTCTACACTGGCACTTCTTTTTTTTTATATAGAAGGGCTCTTTCAAGGCCCTGCCAGCGGAGCTTTAGCAAGATATTCTCTGTAGAAAAATAATATATTGTAGAAGATAATTTAGAGTATTTTTATTGTAAATATCAGTGACAACTTATTTTAGAAGTCTCTCAATCCTTTTCCAGTCTTCTGTACCTAGTACTGAGCGGGAGTACTCGCTAGAAGAGGATCTACTATCTTCCTTTTTGATAAAGTGTTTCAAAACAATTTCAGGATTCTATAGCTATAAACCAACAGATCTCCATGCACTTTCAATATTCTTTTGAGATAAGGCTCGTTTCCAACCAAAATAGCCTAAAAAAGTCCCGCTTTATATGATGACTGAGGCCTTGGCAATTGTGTAAGTATATAACTATAAAATTACTATAGTATCTCATCAAATTCTAGCACACTACCAACTGTTTTGGTTTATAAGATAATATCTGAATTATTTTATTATCTTGATTTAAGTCTTCTAGTAGATTTGATATACTATTGTAATTTCGATTATCCGAACCACCTAACCCACTCAGGCAAAAGGCTTATAATTGAATGCCGAACAAGCATTCAATCAGTTAGGTGATATATATAGGGTGGTTTATACCCAGAACCGATGTGATTTGATTGCAAGTAGCGGTATGCTATGAGATGTAGAAATTCACTGACCTTCTACCAAGGGTAGGGGGTCGCTATGTCCTTTACATACATAGGGTAGTTGAGCGCCGTATGGTTAAACCCGTAGCGTATAGTCTAGGCGACATCTACTAGGTAATAAGGACCCCCGTAGTGCAGCCCTATAAAGAGCAGCCCCCCCGCGTAGCCACGATCACATATATATAATCTAGATCTATATAGAAATCTAGATTTTTAGGTTACCGTACCTGATCACCTGACGCCCGCCTCCACCTGACGCCCGATTTCCTATGAAAACCAGAGTTAAAGATGAAGCTCTACAACCACATATATTGTTTATCATCGTGTGATCTTTTAGTGGTTTAGTATTTAAACTATATAGAATATATGTAACTAATTTAATGATCCCGAAAGCGCGCAGGTAGGCGGATCTGTCTACCCCGACGATTTATACTATATGAAGCCTCTGTAACAACAATCTTATTTTGATCACTAGTATCCTTTATATTTTTTGGAGTTGAAGGTATAGGGATCATATTTTTACCTTTAGTAGCCTGATTTATATTATTTTGAAGCTGTAGATTAGTTCTTTTAGTAAGCTTTTCTTCTTCCTTTTAGTACTGCTTCGAATGTTTGTCTGCTGATATATCTTCTTATTTAAAGCTCGATTTCTCTTGTGTTCTTCTAATAGAAGCTGTTTTTCTTTCTTTTTCTGTTCCTGACGAAGCTTTCTATTTTGCTTAGCAGCTTTATTAAGTTGTATAGCTTTATCTTTCTGAGTCTGAAGATCCCGAGCTTCTTGAACTTTATTAGACAAGTAAAAAACTGTATTACTACCTTCTGAAGTATATAAATCAAATAGAAGTGGTTTCCTATGTTGATATTTCTTCTATTCGTTCTTTAGAGCCTTTTCAAGACCTGAATAACGTAGCTTAAGCAGGATATTCTCGGTAGAAAGTAAATATATAGTAGAACTGAGCTTTTGAGCCTTTTTATCGTAGATATCAGAAATAGTCTGCTGAAGAAGTCTTTCAATACATCTCCAATCTTCCGCATTTAGGATAGAATGAGACGAATTACTAGATAATAATCTAGTACTATTCTTTTTGGTAAAACGTATCAATATCTTTTCAGGATTCCAAGGGTATAAACTAATAGAATTCTATATACTTTCAACATTTTTCTTTGATAAAGCAGTATTCTACGCTGGCCAAAAGAGTTGAAAGAAGTCTTGTTTTGTAATATAACTTATTTCTTAATAATTATGTAAAAATTGCTCTAATTCAGCGCTGTACGCTGTAGACAAAGGATTAAAGATACTGATATCCAGTGGCTGTAGCGTATGCGTAGAATGAGGTGGATAGATAGCCAAAAGAATCTTATTTTTATCGCAGAAGTTAATAAACTTTATTGTTGTATAAGATCCGTGGTTATCAAGGATTAGAAGTCTTTAACGCTTTCGAGTCTTCTCCTTAGTTTCTCGATCAAAGATATTGGTAAGCCAGGTATATTCAATATTATTATTTATCCAGCTACTAGAAGATAATATAAAAAAGTATATATAATACCCAGGACTGAAATCTTAAAGCCAGAAATTCTGTATATTATCTGAAACAGCCTGATATATAAGACCCGGGGAAAGAAAGCTTCTATTTACAGAGATATAAGTAATTGTAGTAATCTATTCTCTATTCCTATTCTGAAGGCGTTGCTTAAACCCCCCCTGCTCAAATTTAGAATAAGAAAAGATTCTTTTACCTTTTGATAGTACTCCGATAAGAAAGCCTTTCTTATCTATATTATACATATCTTCAGGCTGTATGTTATATTCCTTGAGCTTCTTGGCTATTGGCTCAAAGTAAAGAGAGTATTTATACGCCGAATCAGCTCGCTTACGTTGGGAGTCAATTCTAGTTGTGTAGCGGACAGTAAGCTGATTATTATATTTCTTCAAAAATCGAGTTGGCCACTGTTTTCCTGGCTTCTTTCCAGTAATTTCCTTAGCAAAGTTTTGTAGCATTTCAAGTGTAGGCAGGAGATCTTTATCAGTTAGATTATTGATCTATTTTATAAGTGTTTTGGCCTGCTTGTTGTTGAGAATTTGTTGATTATTATATTGCTCTGCTCGAGTATGTTGAACACTACAATAATATCGAGATAGTGTAGACCTGCTTATACTATATTTCTTAGTAGTTTTTGTGTAATCTATCTTTTCTCCCGGTTTTAAGCTTTCGATCTCAGCTATCGCTGCCTCAATTGAAGCCATATTGGCAGAGTTATGGTGGTTTGAAAAGTATCGAAAAGTCGGTGTATATCAAAAAATCGGGCGTCAGGTGGGACCGGGCGTCAGGTGATCAGGTACGGTATATAACCATTTGTAGGCTGGGGCAGGTTTTTCGGGGGACCCGATCAACTCTAATCATGCTCCAGCTCTCAATTCATTGTGTAGTAGGCAAGGTCTCTTAGACTGTCATAGGATAGCATTTTGAAGAGCTGTCGATAACACTACGAAATCCAAAAGTGTCACCGTCATTTAATCTGCCTGTTTTATAAAAGCGGACCGCTTGGCGGTCAAACGCCTATTACTTCTTCCGTTCAGGTAGTACGTACTTGGAAAAAACAACAATCGCTTCATCATCTACTGATCACCTACTCTCCGGACCGTAGAGGCCGATTACAAAAAGAGAAAAATAAGCTTTATGCGCGAGGGAGAAGACTACAGGGATTTCGGATGGCTTTTTTCTCAGCTGGATCAGCTCATTGTTTGGGATCCGTCGAGACCCTGTCGCCTCCCCGTGTTTTTGAACGCTCGGGAAGTTCTTTGTCAAGCACGTCATACACACCTTATCCCCGTGTTGCTTCTTGTCTCCCTGGAGGAGGAAGACTTATTGCAGTATTTGCATCCCTTGTTCTTTCAAATGACTGCGTGACTGCGTCATGTACACTTAAGACTCTTGGGGATAAAAGACCCTTCATCCAAAGGGACTTTCTGGAACCCAAGAATCAGTTATTAAAAATATAAGTCTTGATTGTCTATACAGTCGTGCCACTATTACTCTATCGTCTCCAAGTAAAATTGCACTTAATTATTTTCTATTTCTCTGTTGACATCTTTTACCAGGCTTGGGTGTTCCATTAATCCTATCTGGCTTAGTGGTTCATCCTGCTGCCTCACATCATAGACATGATCAATTGGCGGAAGTAATTAATTTAGTTCGCACGAACTCCAGGCTTGCTAGTCTGGAAATCAGGATCCTCCTCAATGTTTACACCAGCATCCTTCAGTAGATTAGGGAACCATCTTAGCATTCGGTCGCGAAAGACCTCGTACCCGGCTCCCTTCCGTAGAACCTTCATGTTCTCTGCATCGAAATTCACACCACCACGCCTGTACACCTGCCATTTCTGTAACCCGTAATCCACCACCAAATCTACCGCATCAATCACTCTCGGCTCAATATCTTCAATGCGGAATCGTTGTCCCTGGCCGGTCAGATTGGCCGAAGTTCCGAACATTAACATGCCCTCGGGGTCCTCATCGCAAAGACGACCGAGTTCCCGTAGAAATGGACCTTCGGGCACTGCGATACTGACCGTATCACCCTTGGTAACCTGCAATAGCGTAGCGGGATCGAGGGTTGCCAAACGCGGGTGAAGATTTCGAGTATCGTATTTGGCAATGATCCCGACAATCATCGCCATATCTTCTGTCAGGACTCGTGTCATCTCAAACTTGGCCTCGGAGAGCACATGGATTTCGCGGTGTTGCTTGTATGTTCCGATTATGCCTATGTTGTGGCCTTCCCGACGGTCTTTTGCTGAGAAAATCCGCTGGATTCCAGCCTGTGTGCTTGTCAAGAGTGCGTAGCCGACATCGGTTGGGATGATGACAACACCACCACGTTTAAGAGTGTTATAGGTCTCTTTAGCATCGCGAGGGACGTTGGGAGCGGTATCTAGCTTTGGTATGTGACTGGGAGCCATTGAAGGTTGATGATGATATCTAATTTTGTACAGGTCAAAGTAGGAGTATATATAGCCAAGCGCCTCGGAAGTCGAATCCGGAACCCCATGGAGTGGCGAGTCACCTCGGAAGCCAGATTCGGAACTCCGATCATGGTTGGTCACTTTGACTTTTGCTTACTTATATAACTTCAACATAGATTGAATCTTGCCAAACTAAACAATCACCAGCTCAATCAAGCCAACTGAATACTAAAAAAAGAAGATGGCTGTCTATATAACCGACCACTCCACTTCTGTCCTCAATACCCATAGTTGGTGTATAGTGTCCAATTCCGCCACCTATCCCCTACCGCACATAACTCCAATGTCTAAAATCCTAGACATTGAGTGTGGTCCCCGCTTACTCGGTGTTGATTTCACCCGCTGTATAAACTAAGGTTATATTATAGGAGCTATAATTATCCCTGATCTACTCGACCAGACTCAACACCTAGCCGTGTTATAAGGTGTAACTAGTGTCAGCTTTTGGTTGGGTAATAGCGACGCTCTCAAGTTTCTGGATAATATGTTCAATATTACTTATATATATTAGATACTGTAATAATATATTCCTGATCCTGTCCAAGTATTATGCGAGATAAGGTATATTATACAATATAGTGGAGGAGTTGTTATAGTAAGAGAATTCGCGTCTATAATCTAGTATTTAGAGAATTACAGAATTAGTAAGTAGCTTTAAATTTACTCGATAAATGGCAAAGGTAAAAGGCAGGAATCTATATCCTAGACGTTATATTTAGGTCTAGATAGAAGAGGCTAAATTTAATTAGGTAAATATAAAGAAAAGTACTGGATCCTCGTAGTTTGGCAATCCGGAGGAAAGAGAGTATTGTGGTGGATCGATAGGGGAAAGGGTGCAGTTTTGGGGTTGGCGAAGACGGCTATGAAGGCAGGGTATGCAATAAAGGAGGAATAAGAAAAGATTACTAAAGGATGGAGGGATTTTTTTGAGGATGAAAAGGCTTGGTTTTGGTTGTTGCATGGGGAAATATTACCTATGCTGGAAGTAATTGATCAGGTAGCGCCCTTATTCCCATTTCATAATGTTTAATCTTGACCGCCGTTGAACCTCCAGTCACTGTGCTAGCTTGTTGAGTAGAGTACAATACCCAAGTATTGGTTTTTTTGTGCAGTGAGGAAGGCTTTCTGAAGCATAATTTATAATTTATTATGTATTGAGGCATTCTGGATTGTAACCAAATGTCCAAACAGAACAACAAAAACCCAGGTCCAAAGTCGGCGATCTTGCAATTGATTTGACTGATGGGCCCGTTAAGCTGTGGAGGTTACAGAAGTACTTCAATGGGGGCACGGAGTAGTACGTGATGCTTGTGAGGCAGGCTTTGTTCGAATAATCGACGTAGAAATACTTGTACATATCAAAAGCCACCGTGATCTAAGAGTAGGTGTTATAAAGTATGAAGGAAATAGGCAAATGAAGTTTTCAGTCTTTGTCATCTAACAGAGCGGACACAAAATCAGCAACCTCTAATGCCCTCATCGGCCATCTCGCCGATAGGAAACAGCGTGAAGCCGTGAAACGCGGCTGGGATAATCTTCAAGGATGTTTCATTCTTGGCCATCCCCCACTTTGTGGCCAAAAAGACAGAGTCATCAATGAGTGGGTCCTCAGAGCCAACGAGGAAAAAAGCGGGAGGTAAGCCCCGTAGATCAGCATATAACGGCGATAGGTGCGGCTGTTTTCGGACATCTAGCGGATATACGTCCTGCGGTAATGCTGTATCGATGAAGCGCGACACGTCCTCGTTATTGAGCATCAGACGGCGGGAATAATTCCTCGCAGAAGGGAGATAGGTCATGTCATAGATTCCATAAGAAGCCACTAAGCCCTTGATGCGACTCATGACGTCTATTCCTCGTTGGCGGAGTTCTAGGGTAACCCATACGCTGAGATAGGCACCAGCAGACTCACCACCAATGATGGTGAGCGGCCCTCGAAGTTTTTGTTCCCCATCTAGAGACAAAGCAAAGAGCGCAGCATCGATAGCATCGTCCAGGGGCGCGGGAAAAGGATCCTCCGGTGCTTTGCGATAGTCCACTGTCACGACCGTAAGAGAGAGCGTGTCGGCCAAATGACGAAGGTAACCATCGTTCAAGCGGGCGGAGCTGATGCAGAATCCACCTGCAAAGAGAACCTGATTAGTTTGTCTCTAGAAGGGGACTGTTCGCATGAACTAACTTCCATGAAAGTGCAAGAATACACCTTTAGATACCTTTCCCTTGGGTATAAATTGCCTCAAGAGGATTGAATGGTCGCCGTGGCTTGAAGGAAGAAAGAAATCAATGGCTTCCGAGTCAAAAATTGGCTTCCCGAGCCCCGTTGTCCCATCAAGCTCTGCCCGTCTGTAGTCGGCAGGGCTGGCGTACTCGTACCATTGTCTGGTCTCAATATATTTGGCTTCCAGAGCTCGATTAAGCTCTTCACGCGCCGCCAGGACAGTTGGCGAAACCTTGTTCGGGCAGATTATAATGGACATTCTGATGTTGAATGAGGTGTTTTCAAGCGTTATAGAGGATTTAAAAACAGCCGACCACTAGGCTCCTTAATATTCTTATTCTAGGGCCAGCAACTGCGGTAATAGCGCGGAACTCCGAGTTTAGATTTGAATCAAAGGTTGCTTCTTACCCCAGTGCGCTGCACGGAATTCCGGTCTCCCGAATCCCCTGCCCGAAGTGGCAAACTCGTCTGAGTTGTGACCGACTCCGACGCAGCGTCCATAAGTAGTGAATGCCATCAGACATTTTGAGGGAGAGACCGAGTATAGCGTCCTGTCAGACTTGATTATGGAGAGGCTGAATATTCTGCTCCATGACAGTCTATTGGGGCGGCCCGGGGTTCTTTTGCGCATCATGGCTTAGGGTAACCGACTGGCATTAATGGGAATGCCTGCCTCTCGCTCTGGCATGGCCAGATTGAGCTCCTCCCCGACAGCAATTTGTGCGTGGTTATGCTGACTGGGAGCAAGATGAGTAATGCCACATCTTGGTTCTAATTGAACACTATCTTGTTTCTAAGAACACCGATAGTGTCGATCTCCACCTCCACCTCGTCTCCCGCTGTCATGAATGTTTGAGGCTGGCAGAACAAACCTACACCAGATGGGGTTCCAGACATGATAACAGTTCCAGCTAGAATCGTGGTATCTATACTTCAGAAGTAGTCGTTAATGAAAGCAGACGCGCCTCTATGGAAGTCAACCAGTCGGTTGACAAGGTCGGAATTAAAGAATGCGAAGAGGATCGGTGACAGTGGGGATCCTTATACTAGCCCAGCGTTTGGTAAGGATGCATTCACTGTCTCCAAATTGTTAAATCCAATGCTTAGGTCGAAGGATACCAGTGTGATAACCTTCGATATGGGAGATGAATGGACCCCACAACAGGGGCTAAATAAATACTTCGGTCTTTTATTTTATTTTATCTTGATTTTATTTTATCATTTTATCAGACTAGACTTGAAGTGGAGCCACTACTAAGCGCCGTATATTCCATTGGTTAGTACTAGTTAAGATTGATTAAATGATAACGCCATGTTGATGTTTATTAGAACTGACCAAGCTATACCAAGCGAAGTATATCAACCAATTCGTGTCCCCAGATCGCATAATAGTACCCAAATTCCCCTCCGTCCTTTGCACATACTGATCTGTTTTCAAACCCTCTGCCGAAACCCCAAGTAGTCCGTCAAGGGTCAATGAATTTTTATCTGCAATGTATTTTTTGTGAGAAAACCGGTAAACATCATCTTATCCGGATATCCCATCCCCAAAGCATACCAAACATCTCACTTCCAAACTTTCTCGTGCCGCCTGTACCTCGCTCGTGTGCGGGTCGATGAATGCCGCGTGGGGTGCTCTTCTCGCCGTCTTGCCGTCATCTTTTGAGTCAAATGTTTTGAGCAATAAAATGTCGTACTGGGTCATATCCGACAGGTAGTACCATTTATGGCCCGGTCCATACTTCCCAAACAGTGTTCCGCTACTCTGTCGGGAGGTCTGAGGCTTATAGAAGGTGCCTTGGACGTTTTGTGGACTCCCAACATGGACCTCGAAAAGATCCTCGTCAGGAACAGATCGGGCATCTGCTACTGCGAGAGGGTCGCATGGGACGGGCTTCAATGGACGCCAGATGTTGATGATGGCCCAGCGGCCTTGCAGAACCCGCTCGACCTGGTCGGGTGCCATGCTGTCTTTTAATTTCTGGTATGCGCCCGCCTCGGATTGGTCGACGTGCACTCTCCGGGACGGCATGTTAAACGGAACTACCGATGAATCGGGTTCGGAGGAATCGATCCTTTTGGATAATTCTTTGTCCGTCTGATTGCGGATCAAACTCGAGAATATTTGCACGCTGGTTGCGCCCGTCCTAAGTGAAGATGATTATGTCAGGAATTTACCCTCACGGAAACACAATCAATTGTCGACGACTTACAATCGTTGGAGAATGTCCACCGATTCCTGCTGCACGGTGCTTAGGTCTCCGTCTCGAAAAGAAGCGAAACTGGGACTTTCGTGTCGTAGAAACTGAAACCCATGCACATCCAGACGGAATTCTTCTTTTCTCTCGCGCACATCTTCGATTTGCACAGGTTGGCGATCGGGCGCTATCCGACAGAATTCAAGTGTTCCCGCCGTAATTTCCCCGCTGGGGAAGGCGGACGAATGGTGGTAATCAAGGAAAGTCTGGATTATTTGAGGCTGCATGATGATCCGACTATTGATTTGGGAAGCGAGAAGGTTCAAAGAGACTTGGACGTATCGAAAGTGTAGTGTTGATCTGCGGGTGATTGACCCGGGGCAATGGGATCTTTTATACAGCCAAGAGAGGTATAGCAAAAGCGGCCAGAGTCGATACGACATATGAGGCATCGAAATCGATGCATGAGGAGTCCTCGTCACACCGCCATGCTTCCAGTTCCTTTGAGAATAGGGAAATTGCTAGGACATTCTCTATGCGGACGCAGATCATGTACCGCGGTGGATATTATTAGTCGAGCCTGAAGTGAGATTAATAATTCTCCCGTCGTGTTAATTATAAGCTCACAATATACCGTAGCTGACCGCCTGACGATCGGAACCACCTGACGATCGATTTCACCACTAATAATCAGGTAGAAAATGAAGCCATACAACTATATAGAAAAGAAACCACATAAAAATCTCTTGGTATAATAAAATATAGACTATAAAGAAGATATCTAGAGATTTTAGAGATTCCGAAAGTATTATAGAAGATATATTTGTTTGTCTTAACAATTTATAGTAAGAGGGGTCTCTTCAGTAACTTTAGATACTGGAGTACTAATATATTACTAATTAGAGAATTTAGAAGATCTGAAGATAAGTTTTCTTTTTTTATTAGTCTTCTGGAAGTTATCTTGAAGCTGTAAATCTACTATTTTGGTATATATTCTATTCTCTCTTTGGTATTTCTTCTGCTCAGTTTTCTGTATTTTTAACTCTTTCTGATACCGTACTTGATCACCTGACGCACGTCCCCACCTGCCGCACGGATTTCTATATACACCGACTTTTTGACTTCAACTTCAAACCATCACAACTCCGTCAATATGGGTTCAATTGATGAGGCGCTTGCTTTTTTAAAATCCCTAGATCCAGGAGAATCATTTAAATATGCGGAAGTAGCCAAAAGATTCGGTGTTGATCGTACAACACTCTCAAGGCGCCACCGGGGTGTTATGCATTCAAAAGAGAATCAATATGAAAACCAGCGATTACTCAACAGCCAGCAAGCCAAAACTCTTATAAGTTATATTAATAAACTCTCTGAGA